CAAGGGTCGGTCGAGGCAGAACTGCCCTCGCTATTCCCTCGAAGCAACTGCGTCTGGAGGTCTGGGTACCAGGCAACTTATTGTGAGCCCGTAAAATGGCCCTCTGTTCATTTCCGTAATGGGGAGGGCGGATTACACTCGGCAGATGACTACTGCGGAAATTAAACGCTGATTCGGGCCGTCATTGCCTCCGGCACTGTAGCCAATACTCGTTCATAGGAGAGGGATGGAACCATTGTGGTGAAATGCTTCTCCGAAGCTAACTGCGATTGGCTCAAAGCTGAATAAGAGATAAAATTATGAATGGGAGAGAGGACTACGTGCTGTGGGAACGTAGTATAATTCGCTCTGTGAAGAGGGATGCAGCGGGATTGAAACCTTGAGTCAAATNAAAATTATGAATGGGAGAGAGGACTACGTGCTGTGGGAACGTAGTATAATTCGCTCTGTGAAGAGGGATGCAGCGGGATTGAAACCTTGAGTCAAATGGCTAGGCTGGTAAAAGTTCTGAAGAAGGACCAAACCACAAAGCTGCGTTCTCTCAAGAGTCCTGATGGCTTTCTAGCGACTCAATTTCGTGCAAATGAGGTGATGGTTTCGCCTTCCTCTCCCTCGACTGGTGAGGGAGGGTATGCGAGAACCACAGTGTCAAGGTACAACTGGTTTGTTGCCAGAAATGTGGCTAATGAAGATGCCCTAAGATATGCCATTGTCTTTTGACAGACTCTAATCACCCGGTCCGGATGGCATCCTACCTATTGTACTTAAAGAAGGTGTTGAGCTTTAGTTGGTGAACTTGCAAAAGATTTTCACAGCATCGCTTGCACGTGTCTACATAGGTACTACAAAAAAATCAGATTTCTTCTATGCTGGCGTAGCTGGTCATCACTATTCTGGCAGAAGGACTTAAAACCTGCACATGCAATTAGTTCAAATTTTTTTGAAATATAAGGCTTTTAGGTTTTCGAAAATCTGACTTTTGACCTTATAACACCTCTAATATAAGTTTCCACAAGAAAAGTTATATACCGTTTAAATAAGAGCAAAAGGCGGACCACGTCTATATTTTGACTTTTTTAGTTGTTTACATACATTAATTAAAAATAATTTTTTATCAAAGGTCCAATTTCGAACTTCGAAAGCTAATATCTCAATTTTGGAGGCTAACTTTGAAAAACGGAGAAATTACTTTTTAATTATGATCTATTAAAAAAAGTTGGTTTACTCCCATACCCAGCCAAGTACAATGTTATTAAATGGAAGGTGTAGTCAATTCAATCAATCAATTCAGAAATTTATGTCGATCAATTTTCGCCACGTTGGAGGACCTTTTGGCTTGTAGTGCGCTGTGGAATTTTATGCTCAGTAACATTTTGTACCAACGTTCCCTGCTTGAAAATGATTTATAGATTTTTAATGTGCTTGTTTTGTTATTAACTCGACTTTGTTTATTGCCTAATTATTTGTAATTTTACATGCAATATAGTTAGTGATACTACATATATGTATAGTATATGCATATATATGTACTTTCATACAATAAGTACATACATTCACAAGCATAGTCACTTCCGTTTTTCTGATGCCTTTTGGTAATACATAGAACAAATTACGTCTTACATTGGGGTGAGTTGTTGTGAATAGTGACTTTTATGGCGGCCCTATGTTGTGCATACTACCAGGCAGTTTCGCCACAAGAAACAACAAAATGAACGTAATTATGATGAATTGGAAAGAAATTAGGCATAATGTGTTGATTTTCATAAGAAATTGCTGTTTGTTTTTTTTGTAACAGATATGAGAAACGGTAGGCTATTGCAACTTGAGTGGACGATAGGAATATATTTTGGCAGAAACATTGCTTCTCATATTCATACATATTTAAGATCAACATTTTTAATAAGTTGTAAGTATATTTATATTATTTTATTTATCGTTTAACTCAGATGCCTCGTTTCCAAATTGTTCGACGTTTGTCCACGCAGCACCGTGGAAGAGATGGAACAGCAGGAAGAAGTGCGCGTTGCTTGGGGCACTGGCATTGCGGGACATGTGGCTGAGAGCGGTGAACCAGTGAATATACCAGATGCGTATCAGGTGAGTAATACCAAAAAAAAAATGAAATCAAAATAACGAGAAAAGACAACTTCAAGTAGGATAAAAATCTAATAGATCAGGTGAAAATTAGTAAAATAGATACAGTTGAGATGATTCGCTGGCTTATAAAAGAGGTTTCAAAAGTAATTAAATATTGGCGTGGAATATTTTCCTACAGTATTCTTCACGAATACGTATCCTAATTTTTCATGTGTATAACAATTTTAGAATGAGTTTCGAGTGTGCCAATAAAAATTGTAAAATTGGAATTTTTGTTTCGCAAATCATCGTCATCTTATAAGCAATGTAATTCTTTTTCATTTGGTGGCACACTCCTTTTATTAATCTAGATTGGATTGTTTCGGCAAAAAGAACATTTTCACCGTTTATTGTTAACATTTTGAAGTGTCTTAAGTGTTTAAAATGAAAAAATCGTTAAATTTCAAATATTACAAAATAGCTGCGATAGATATTCTGAATGCTGTCATTATTTTAAATTTGGTGGCACACTTTTGAAACATCACTGACATGTTGTTTTTGGTGCCAACTTTCATTGCCTTTAATATGAATATTCAATCTGAAAACTTCCAAAAGTTATTTAAAAAAAAACAAAAAAGAATATAATTTTTTTTTAAGTGACAATGAAACAATGAGTAATTTCTGTACTTTTTTTGCCCAAATAAGCGTTTTAAAACTAAAACTGTTCTAATACTTAACTTATTTTTTGTTGAACTTATTTCTTGAACTCCATTGATTAAAACAAATGCAAGAAGATTGCTTTACCGTTTTTTCAGATTTACTCATACAAAATATTTGCAAACGGAGCTCAGCGATACAGGGAGGCATTAATCCATGTTGTTCTTTGCCCTTAATCCCTTTTTGAAACAAGACAGTCGGAATTGACAGCAAAAAGTTAAATTTCTTTCTTTATACATATTACTTTCCTTTTTGATTTCTTTACACCGAAAGTAAGTCAAAATATTCTCTTTCTCTGTGTGGCCACACTTTTATGTATGTATCATTAATCACATTTCCATGAGCATAATTTTTGATTTACGAATCAAAGTAGTTTTAAAACATCTCTCCGATCATAAACCATTTTTCATATTTCGATTTTTTACTTTTCCACTTAACTTTTTGCTTTGGCAAGCGTGCGTTGTGTAGAAAAATAAGAGGAAATAAAAATTTGTGAAACAATTTTGTAAAGATTTATGTACTTACACATGTATGTACATATGTATGTATGCATGAAAATATTTTCCACTGCACCACATTTTTAACTGTTTTGCAACTGCAAAGAAATTCTTTCAACTGGTTTGCCATTTTCACAGCATCCTACATCCTTATACATACTTCACTGACAGACGTAAGAGAAAGATTAATGATAATTTTGCTTTATGTTTTTTTTTTGTTTGCTTGTGTATTTTCGTGCGTCCACTTCTTTTCACCGGAACTCTACTGTTAAATCTTGTGAAAAGCATTGGGAAACGCATAAGTACAAAGAAAAACTCTAAAATGTTGGCAAGTGCTTAGTGGATTTAACGAGTTGATGTGCAAGTTCTTTATGCAATTAATCTTCTTAACAATGGAGGAAAAATTTCGTGACCACGAAAGAACTTTGCTCAGTAATGTCAGTTAAATGTTTTGGAGTTAGAAATGAAAATGCAAATAGTGAAAGAATTGGGTTTTTATTAAAGCCTTGAGCAGTATTTTTAAATTAGTTCGTAAAAGAAAATTTAGCAATATTTTCAGGACTTCTCTCGAAGATCTTGCAGGCCATTTTTAATGCTCGGTAGAGGATTTTCGCTGACCTGTACCCGACTTTCTGGAGAATTCTAGTAGATCCGCTAATGCAGCCTTTTCTAAGCTAGATGAAGACGTGGATATATTCTTTCTCTCCCTCTCCTCTAAAGTATCTGGCGTTCAAGGGTCTAAGGGCCTGTGGACTCTAGACTGTCGAAGATGGTTGTAGAGATCTTTGACAGTCTTTAATGTCTCGATGACCTTTTAATAGCAGCCAGATTACCTACATGGAAGGCTAGTTTTGATGGAATATCGCCGTATACGTCGATTTTATGCAGACATCTAAGCCGGTAGTCTATAAGCTTCTTTTTAAAAAACTGTTTCTGAGAGAAGCTGCGCTTTTCCAATGCTCCTTTTCGACTAATTTTTGAAGTTCGGCAGCTCACATCGCTAAGGAAAATACGAGTATTAAACTGGCAGTCACTTCTCTCGGGAAAGTCGCGTAGGCGGAGGAGGTGCTTATATATATATATAAGAGGAGGACCTGGCAAAAAAGATCGTGCGCACCCTGCGAAGCCTTGCTGACAGACCTAGTGCCTACTACTCGTCCGCGGTCGTGGCTGTTATGAAAATATATCTTCGTGACCTACATGGGAGATCTTTTGTAATTGGACCGCTCCAGTATCTCAGTCATTTTTCAGTTCTTTTGTTCTTTTAACTCATCCAATTGGACAGCTCATTATATCCGCTTCAAATTCAAGACAGACAACCCTTATCAATTCGCCAATTATTTATTTATGTAGAATTATCCTTTGCCTGGGAACACAATTGAGTGAATACCTCTAATTTAAGTCAGTGTCCATTTCGGACCCATCGGTGCTGATAGCAATCGACTACTTCCTATCCGTAAGTCCTTTTTTTTAAATACTGTTAAATGAAGGTATGATATGATGCGATTCTTATTCTGCTCCCACCAGCTTGTCAAAGCCGCTTCGGGCTTCAACTGTCCGACTATAGTGTGGCACCTAAACATTTCGCCGAACTTCTTTTTTGAAGTGAAACTTTTTAATCGAGTTGTGCTTTTAGCAGCGACGGTTTCCACGTAATTTCTTATAGGTGGAATAACGAGAAGTGTCTCTGACGTTTGGTTGTGGACCCGCTCGAATGGCACCTGTTGCATGAAGTATGTACATGGCCACCCGACAACCTCGAGCAAGCCTATGTGAACCGATCTATCTTTTCGCTAAGCATGTTGAGCATCGCCTATATTTGCGGAAGTGTGGCAGCATGCAGTCTGTGTACTTGAAAGTCTATCAGTAAACTTAAAAAGAAACGAGGAGAGACTTATGTATGCCTTCGTTGAAAATCTTTTCCAGTGTTGTGGCGCGTGTTGCCTATTTTAGGGATAAAGTCTACTCGTTGCTCCCTCAATGGCTCTGATATAAAATATAGCTAAAAAGTATATTACAGCTGCAAATTTTCGTCAGCCAGAGAGTAGTGAGTTTTGTGGTCATCGTACTTTGTATCCTGTATGGTATGATTCCGTACGTATCCGGAGATTTATACTTAGGTTGGGAATGATCTAATAGACTTTGTTTCTTTATGTTCTCTGACGAGTTTAACGACTGAACTGAACCCTAATTGTAGCCCCCCGCAGGCTATATAAGAAATTAAGCACTTTAGAGGGTGTCATGTTCCAAATTTCGGAGCTGGATAAGATAAACGTTCCCCAAGTTATAGCAGTCTGCGGTTACTGAAACGTTGGCAGCCACATAGAATATGTTCTGGGGTTTCCTCCACCAACCCACAAAACCTAAAGTCCGTCTCTACAGAAAGCTCTATTTTATTGAAATGGTACCTTAACTTGCAGTGCTTGTCAGGTAGCCTGTAAGAATTCGAAGAATCTCCCGGCTGAGTTCGAGGAGTCTTTCGGAGTATCTCCTGCAAGGTTATGCATTTCTTTTGTTGTCTCATTCGCTTTGACCTCTGATAGCGGGCAGCGATCTAAGATTCTTCCGAACTCCTAAGTAGTTCTGCAGTGTACTGTCTTGGGACCATGTAGCGAATTAGGCTCCACGTATTGTGAGACAGTTTGCCCTTTCGTTGCCTTCAAACTCTTATGTCCAGGCACCCTCCTCAGCGTTAATCTATTATGGGCCCCTAGGCTATTCATAATATTTTTACAACCCTCCACAAGCATTTATGACGTTATAAAAAGTCTAAGGCCAATTATTTATGTAAAGTACTGTTCAGCGGTGCTTGTACGAGCTCTCTACTCTCAAGAAGATTTCATAAATATAAATTGTATTTTGCTTGTGTTTGAAATATATGGACAAAAACGTTTACATCTGGTCAAGACTGGTTGAATGCAGTCTATAGTGGTATATAAACATATAACAGCAATTTCAATTATAATTTATCTTGCTAACGGAGTGTTTCAGTGTTTCGCAATACAAGTCGTTTTTGAAGAATATCGGTAAACAAAGGGCAGCTGACTGCTTGCGCTTCTTGAAACATTGTTGTTGTTGTTGTAACAGCATACAGATTCCCCAAGGAGTTTTTGGGGAGTGTTGCTGGAGTAATAGTCCGATATACATCTGGGTCGTTCCGGTTACGTAGACCCGACTGTCGTGGAAACGATTCTTGAAATATTCGATAGGTTCGGTTAAACATGGGCGGCATAGACCCACACATACACTAGTAGCTCCTAAGCGTTGCAAGTTGGAGTTTGATTTTATTGGTTGGGACTACCCAAAATTGTCCCGAAATGGTTCTGAAATGGTTCTGAAAAATTCATGACCTTGAGCCGAAATGATAACGAACAAGTACTGAAGCGGTCCCGAAGTTTGTAATTAATTTGACTTGAACTAGTCCCGAAATGTCCTAAACTAGTCGTGAACTTGTCCCGAAATGGCTGTGAACAGGTCTCGAAGTCATTCCGGACAAGTCCCGAACAAGTCCCGAAATAGTTCTGAACAGTTCCTGAGTTGGTCATGAAATGTCCTAAACTAGTCGTGAACTTGTCCCGAAATGGTCCTGAAGTAGACATGAACTAGTCCCAAATTGTAAAATTGAACACACAGCAGCAATTACAGATTTTCTGCTGGGTTAAAAAAATTGTACCCATACTGAGAGCCACGATGTATACACATTAAAATGCCAACGTTACAAACATTAAAAATAATGTAAACGTCAGTGAGTAATATTAAAACAAATAACAACAGCTACTTGATATACTATTACACCGATAAGAACGAAGTCCCATTGCTCATCGCTGCCAATGCGTCGCCGTCGACTTTTTACTTAAACCACATTTTCGCCTTAATACTAATGTAAATAATAAAATATAAGCAAGTGTATGTATGCTCATATGTATTGTTGATAGTACAATCGCCCAACGCCCCATTATTTTGATGATGTTGGTGATGATGATAATAATTTCACTATGGCGGTTGCGACCGAGTCATCGGAGTGTATTTATGAATGTGCGTATGCCTGCTGTTTTTTGCGTATTATTGTCATTTAAAAAGGCTTTCGAGTTTATCAGATTTCCTACTTGCTTGGTAATTGGTTACTTATTTATTTAAATGCTTACACATGCATGTACTTAAGTTATTTTCAGGGAAGTGGATGAGTTCATAATTAAAATTTATTATGCAATTGATAAGCTGATAAAAACCCTCAAAGAGTTGCCATTCGTCATAATAAAATTAAGTGATAAATGTAAGATTTGTTCAGCTATTTTACAGGGCAATCCTGGCCAAGATAGTTGCAAGTCTTTTGCATGACAATTGAAAGGATAGTTTGAAAGGTTATGTTTATTCTGGTACGAAAGTCTTACAAAAAAGCGCCTATGCCAACTCTTATGGTTAAAAGCTCTTTTGACAAAAAGCACTTGGTCATTTCTAATAAGAGATGCATATCATTTCATAATGGCCGAGTGAGCAAAGCACTGGCGCACCATTCGAGAGATCCGGGATTGGAGTTCTCGGACAGCGCTTTTTTAATTTTTTTAAAGGTATTTTTTGCTTTTTTTTAATTATTATTTTTTTAAATTTCTTAATTATATTAAAAAGAAAAATAAATATGTCTCTACTTTAATTCAATTTTTAGAAACTAATGTCGTGAATTTTTTCCTTTTTTAATTTGTTTATTTGTATGTAATTTAATTGTTAAGGCAGTGTGTCCCACGATTGGGCATTTGCATTTTTTGTTTCCGTGCATTTACTATGGGCGGATGAACAATCGGTTGCATATTTTTTCGGGCGAAACTCAGGATAAAGCTGAATTTGTTCAAATTTTTCAATAGAAGTTCGCTCTATTGTGCCAACCGTGTGACTACAAAAAAAAAAAATGTCGCAATTTTTTTATTTTGTACCAGTAGTTCATGTAACAAAATTTACAAATCTGTACAAATGTACCAATCGTGTGATACTGCCTTTAGAAACTTGTTTAATTTTTTTCTTTTTGAATCATTTTATTTTTTATTTTAAGAGTTTCTTGTTTAAAAAAATATATATATTTTTTAAATTTCATTTAGTTTCTAGGATCTTAATTTGTTTTATTATTTAATATTTTTTTTTTGTTTTTCGAATTTAATTTTCTTCTATTTTTTAGTTTTTATTATTCAAAAATTTGTTATTTTTAATTGCTCCTAGCTTTTACAAACTTATTTTGTTGTTTATTTACCATATTTGCTAATTTTTTATTTTATCTTGAGATATTAAAAATTTTTTTTAAATTAATTTAATTTTTAAAATCCTATTTTATTTAAAAGTAAACAAAAATTTGCAATATCTTAAACATTTTTTATACCCTGACTTCATTTTCGGATTATCTTCAAATTCTTAGATGTTATTATTTAAAAAGTTTTTTTTTTAATTTCATTAAATTTTTTGGCACCTATTGCTTTAATATTTATATTTTTATTTTTTGATTTTTTAAAAAAGAAATTTTTTTTAAATTAAATTTAATTAAATTTTTGAAACTTGCTTTATTTAAAGTTAAAGCAAAACATGCTATATCTCAAAAACTTGTTTATACCTTGTATTTCTTTTGGGGTTCAGCAGAAAATTTTTTTTAGAAGTGATGGGCAAATACCCAAGGTCGGAAGTTTATTTCTGTAAACTTGTGTAATTATTAGAATCTTACCTTAAAGTAGATAAATAACGAGTACTACTAAATATTTTATTGCCTCAAATTCAATTAAGTACTTATGTCCTTATTATTTAACTGTTATTATGCTTAAAGTAATTGGTCTAAATTAATTTTCCATTTTTTGCTTATACATATTCCCGTTGCAGGATGAGCGCTTCAATGGTGAAATCGACAGCATAACTGGCTATCGGACAAAAGCGTTACTTTGCATGCCCATTAAAGATTCATCAGGCGATGTCATCGGTGTGGCGCAGGTCATTAATAAATTAAATGGTGAATGCTTCACAGAGGCCGACGAGAAGGTAAGAAAAGCAGCACAGCACACCGATAAGCAATCAAAATTAAAAGCGACTAACAAGTGCCAGCAAATTTTAAACACTGTCATGACCGCAATTTATTCACAATTGTTCAACTAAATTGAAATTTATACGTTTGTAGATGTAAAGTAACTTTCGAATTGCGAATTGTGTGGTGTGTGGAGGACACTTAAAGTTTTTATGACAACTAGAGGCGCTCACTTACTGTACATACACACACTTTTATGGCTCTGCATCTTTTATTTGTTGCCACAATAGATGCGACACGCGCAAACAAAAACACTCGGACAAACAAGCGCCTCTTACTTACTTTCCATGCAACAAACATATGTATTCATACTTGCAACAACGCTTTGGAGGGCGGCTATGTGGATATTGAAAAGTTTTCACTTCTCGGAGTATTAAGCATTTTCCGGTTGATTCCTTTCATTGGTTTTGCGCTTACTTGGACAATTCGCGTCTAACGAAAAACTTTCTGGAATCAGTTTTTTATCGTTTTAGTTTTCTTTCGCATTTTTATCTTTTTGCATTTTTATTGGCATTGAACAATCTCGGTTGACAACTTTCTTTTAACAACTTTGTCGCACCTAAATTTTTTTTTGCGCGTTTAAAATTTGCTACCATTGTCTGTCTGGCACGTGGTTACTTTTTCGTGGTGTAGAGTGTGGATTCGGAAGGGGCATATGCAGCTGTAAAAATTAACATGATTTCTTGCGGCCGGTGAATATAGGTTTGGCCGTCAAGAATTTAAAATTTATAATTTTTTTTTAACTTTAATTAGAGATGCGATTCTGGTTTTATAAAACTAAAAAAAAAAAAATTAAATTTTTTAATTTAGGTCTTCGCTTCCTATCTGCAATTCTGTGGCATTGGCTTGCGTAACGCTCAGCTTTACGAGAAATCTCAGCTGGAAATTAAGCGCAATCAAGTCTTACTCGATTTGGCGCGTATGATCTTCGAGGAACAGAGCACAATTGAGCACATGGTATTCCGTATACTTACACACATGCAGAGCCTGATACAATGTCAGCGCGTACAGATTTTACTTCTGCACGAGGCGTCGAAGGGCAGCTTCTCGCGCGTATTCGATTTTGAAGCGAACGATCTCAGTCACGAGGAGAATACGTCACGGACGAGTCCGCATGAGTCACGGTTTCCCATAAATGTGGGCATCACCGGCTATGTGGCGACAACTGGTGAGGTGAGTAAGAAGAATTTTATTTGCAAAAATGTTTTTTTTTTCGTGAGGGCGGCAATGTTTACATGAATTTTCTAATTATAAAAAAAAAATAAAAAAATAAGTAAAATAAAATAAATACCGGCAGATTTTGCATCTGGCATACAAGTATTGACCTTCGGATGCATAGCACCCCCCGGGTTTTCGTATTTCAGGCTTCTGCTTTGTTCGATTGCCGATCTTCTTACAGCGCATATGCTTTTTAGCCAGTGGGTTGGAACCAGTTAACCCTGCAATAGACCTCTTCGCCTGAGCCTGGATATAAATTTTGATCCTCTTCATTAGCTTTAGAAAACTTCCAAAGGTTCCATTGCCTCCGGTTATGCATACGAATACTAGATTTGGAGTCGTCAGGGAGACCAAATCACGGATATCGATAGTCACCTTGGGCTGTAGGTCTGTGATTGTTGCTACTTTTTGCATGGATACTTTACTTTCACACAGAACAGCGGAGGTTCCTATTTGTAGAAAAGTTAAGTCCTTTCATTAACTATCCTACTGAACCAAGGACTATCCGTAATGAAACTAAGGATATCCAATAGTTCCGTCTCCACTATCTCGCCCAGACTGTTGAAGAAGCGTGACCCCACTGCGTGCGGCGCTTTGACTGTAGGCCCGGACATCGACACAGAAAGTGGTCATTTAATTCCTTCCCATTCTCATTGTGGCAGTTTTGCAGAGAGTACTTGTTGCTATTCGTCATCGCTGAAATATTGGTGCTACAGCGTAGTGCTCCGTGATGACACCGGTAACGACCCTTACTGCAGATCTGTTGAGTGTCAGAAAGTATTTCGTCTTTTTCCATGGCATCTCAGAGTCGTATCTTAGCCATCCCATCAGCCGACTTATTCCCTTCAATATTACTATGTCCGCCGACCCAACATAGAGTAACGTTAATATGGCTCAGGGATGACAACGTGGCTCGAAATTTCCATGCAATTCTTGGTTTCACTATTTTAGATTCTATTGATTTCAAAGACTATCGACAAAGATCATCCAGATTATCAGCTGGAACCGTACTACCAAGTAAAGGACTAGCCGCTCAACGAAAGGACTGTTTGATCTGAAGATACTCCGAGTAGAGACCGGCTCCGCTTCCTTAATCCATCTTTGAACCATAAGTGTACATGGATGTAACCCCCTCTAATGTAGCCAGTGCTGACTTCTTTGTCAGCTTTAAAGGGGTTTAATTTCATTGAGTATTGCTGCATGCCCGATAATGGTTGGCTTCCAGGTATTGGCTTCCTTGGGTCTCAGATATGCTGCTAGAGCTGGAATCAAGAATGATTCTAGAGTAGTTTTCCTCGGGGTAGAGATGTAAAGTGGTTTTCCCTAATTTTGCTAAACAGTACCAGTTCTGTCTTGGGTTACCACCCATTCTGGTTAGCCCACTTGGATATGTCGCCCACTGCACCTGCCATTAGCACACTTATTGTTGTAGTTTGGTTACTTTGTCGTTGGAAACCTATGTTTTGCTGGAATATTACTTTGAGTTCTACTTTTGAATTTCTTTTCCCCGGATTTGTTTACCATTGTTGTTGGATTAGCGCCTTTGGGCGTTGGCTACTTGCTGCGCTTGCGCTTAGCCCAGCTTCGCCATTACATGTCAATAAAAAAGACCATCTTCCTAGTTCCAAAACTTCATTTTTGATATCCATTCGGACCTCTCATGTTGCGATTCAATTTTTTCCTGGTGGGGCTGCGGTAGTAGGGTGTGGTCGCTGTCTCTGGTGTTGGTACTTCTACTGATTTCACTGTGCGACAATTTAATGCCAATTCAAACTAGCTAATATTTTCTAAAAGTATAAAAATCCAGTAAAAAAATACTCGATGGATTTGCAAAAGTTTGCTTGTATTTTTATTTTATGACCTACTTAAATTTTTATGTCCTGGCCTAAGTAGTTTTCAAAAAAGTGGAAAAAATTATTAAAATAAATGTCTGGCGAAATTAAAAGCTAAGACATGGTATAGTAAAATTTCATGGCAAATATTTTCGTAGAATATTTTAACCCACTTGCTCCCGCCGGAACGGGGCATTATGACCCTTACTTAAAGAAACCCCGCAAAAGGCAAATTTGGAAGTTCATTAGAGGAATGATAGATTCTAGAAAATTACCACTTTGTTAGTAATTTTGATTTTTTGTACCTTACTCTTTTTTTCTCTCAGACTGTAAATATACCAAACGCTTACGAAGATGATCGCTTCGATGCCAGCGTTGATGCTGAGGGCAATTTCAAGCACAAGTCCATTTTGTGTATGGCAATAAAGAACTCGCTCGGCCAAATTATTGGCGTCATACAGTTAATAAACAAATTTGATGATCTGGTAAGTAAATTAAAAAAAAAAAACCTACTATAACTTTCTTATTCCATAACTCAAAAATCTCTCTCAATTTTAGAACTTTACCAAAAACGATGAGAATTTCGTCGAAGCCTTCGCCATCTTCTGCGGCATGGGCATACACAATACACACATGTACGAGAAGGCAATTGTGGCTATGGCCAAGCAAAGTGTCACATTGGAAGTGTTGAGCTATCATGCATCGGCGACCATGGATGAAGCGCATCGGCTGAGGGTGAGTGAGCAATTTTGAGAGAGCTTGAAATATTAGCTAGTATTTAAATGGTTAAAGTATGTATGTATGTATATAAAGGGCTCAAGTAGAGTGCCCAAAGAAGTAAAAGTTTCGTTGCATTGGCAACCCGGTTGCAGCATCTTTGTTAACTTTGTATGCAACTGTCGTGGCTGTGGCAATTAATTTTGTCTTTGACAGTTCTTAGCTGCTGTGGTTTAATTTATTGTCGCATGACTTATGTGACTTATGCTAACTGCACATGACATGTGTCCATTTGTTTACATGCACGTGCACTATATATGTATGTATGTATGTGTTTGTGCACAAGTGCATTTCAATTTAAATACGTACACACTAACGTGAATATTTACATATATACATAAATATGTAGCCGTTTGTAACTAAATTTCAAAGAAGTTGTAATACGGCTGTCACGTTGCTGTGGGAGACATATCCAATTTGACCTCAATAACCGTGTTTGATTATAGTTGAAATTCATATGTGGTGCAGATGCGTACATATTTACATATCGTCGTTTAAAGTACAAAACCGCGTATTCGTGGGTCTGCAAAACCTCGTAACTGATATTTATGCCAAAAAAGATATTTGGTCACCGGAAGCTCCTGCCATCAAGCCCTTATCTATTCATGCTAAAGTATCGATACTTATAGAAATAAGAAGAAGAGATAATTGGGTATAAAAGAGGGAAGCGTTTTGAAATAAGACAATTCTTGCCCTCTCCTATAAAATTTTGGCGACTTGATATTCGAGTATTTGCATTTTTTTGCTACGCGGTTTTTTACTTTAAACGACGATATGTATGTACTTGTTTTTACAAACGGACAATATTTGAAAATTTCTTGACATTTACAACCGCATATTCGTCATGTTGCGGTTTGTTGATACTTGCATGTGGTGTAAGCTACTCAGTTAGTACATTGATTAAATCAGTGTTTTTTACATGGCGCTGACTCGAAGTACAGAATGTTGTTTTAAGCTTTAGGATCTTTAAATTTACATAAAAATAATTATATTTTTAAGCTTACAATTTTGCTAAGTGTTTGGCCGAGCTTCTCGTCCAATTTGTGGTGTGCGTGTTGATGCTGTTACACAAACCCACTAGAGAAACGTTTCAAAATTGAAACTTTGTGGGAAAAGGCAGTCTAAGTTTGAACAGTTCATGTAGCTGGTATGCAAAAAAAAAAAAATCTTATTGAATGATCTGCTAACGAGGAGGTTCTAAAAGTTCTCTTCATCTTTTAGCAATAAGTTTTTTAAAAACAAAATTGAGTTAAAGAATTATGTACATACATATATTCTTCTTCTTAAAACAAAAAAAAACTAATAAATAAAAGAAAATTTAATTAAAAAAAGAAAAATATATATAAAATTAAAATAAAGCAAAAATAAATAAGAATATTTGAGAAAACTTAATGAAATTAAAAAAAAAAATTTTTTTTTTTATTTCTATAAAATTAATTTAGAAAAAAAATTAAATCAAAAAAGTGGAAAATAGTACTAAAATTTTAATTTACAAATTTAAAAAAAGAAGAAAAAATTGAGATCCTGAAAACTAAAGGAAATAAAAATTTATTCTTTTTAAAGCAATAAAATCTAAAAGTTAAAGAAAAGAAAAATTAACAAAAGAAAAATAAATTAAATAAAAAATAAAAACTTACATAAAATAAGTTTCTAAAAATTAAATGATATTAAACAATTTGATCTAAAAACTTAAAGTTTCTAAAAATTAAATGCAATAAATAAAATTCTTCGTTTTATAAGAATAACATACAAAAAAAAAATATTAATAATAAATTATGAAAGAAAAAAATTAAATTAAAAAAGGAAAAATATATAAAGCAAGAGTAAAAAAGTTAATTAAATTAAAAAATATATTCCTTCCTTTTTATAACAATAAAATCTAAGAATTAACAGAAGATTTTATTAAAAAAAAAATTCAAAAACTTAAAAATAAAAAACGGCTGGACTCGAACTCGGATCTCTTGAATGGATGCGAGCTAAATAATATGCAAGTGCATTCTTTCAAAAAAAAATTTCACCAAGAGTAAGACTTTTGTTCTAGAATAACCAAAGTCTTTCGAACTATCTTACCATCTGTCTTTCATTTGTCTTACGAAAGACCTTCTTCTTCTTCTTTGCCAAAATTTACCTGTAAGTGGTTCGTATCGGTGAGTGCGAAATCAGGACTCCTATCAGAACCGAGATTTGGTGCCTAAAGCCCACATATCCAGTCCTAAGTCTATTTGAAGCAATGAGCGCCCTGTAAAAATTAGTTTAGCCTTAAAAGTTGTGGTACATTCCAAAACAATGCGGTAGATTTACATACATACATAGTATATAGGTATTGAGATGCGAAATTATCAAGTTTATAATGTTTTTTTTTATAGTCTATAAAACGATACAATATCTCATTGCTACATTTATATGTCAAAAAAATTAGCTTTCTCCGGAACTATCTTCAGCCGGTAATGGTTCTTGTCGGCTTGGTTTTCTCTTGAAGAGTATTTTTTATTAAAAAAAAAAAATCTTTGGATAATGAAGTTCCTCCAGCAAGTAAAAAATTTACTATGATTTTTTTATCAGTCACAATTTTTGTCGTAGTCCTAACCCTGTCTTTGATTTAAAAAAACAGCAAAAAATCCTTCCTTTGGTACTGGGACAAATGTCTAAGTAAGTAATGAGTAAGCTAACAGAACCAAAAATTAATTAATTTGGCAAAATTACAAAGCAGTGAAGCGCAAGGAAGAACGAGTCTAAACCATTCTGGCATAAAAACTTAATTACAAATGAAAACAATAGGACCACTTGTCTACATCACCATGCTAGAGGTTTTTTTAATTTTTATTACCGCTCCATTTGTTTCAAATAACGTGAAAGCTTCCTTTCCGCAATAGCCACGTTCTACTCTATCGTTGTGTCACAATTACCCTTGTTTTTTTTTTTATTGCAACTCTCGCATTGTTTGTTTTCCCTAATGTGTCTACTCCCATGTCATTTTGTGGATTGCTGTCTGACAGTTTTACTTTAACTGCCGACAATTCAAACAAACGTATGCACCCTTGCATATAAGCTCACATACATACATTTAATAAGCTAACAGGCCATTAAGGGCCATTTTCTGAAGTAACCTTTAAATTTAAAGCTCACTTTATATCTAAAGGTTGGATTAAAAATAAAGCTATGTCTAATGTTAAACATTTCTATTATCGGTTTTTGACGTATGTCTGTTTCTTGGTTGTAAATCAATTTAAAACCGTCAATAAAATGATTTACTTTAGACACAATCATAAATTTTAATGTAGCCTTTAAATATAACGTGAGCTTTAAAGCTAAAGGTTACTTCAGAAAACGGCCCTTAGAACGTTAAAGGCACTACATAGAGGTCATGTAAAAACGCAAATGGCCCATTTCTTTATTATCCTTATTACTTTTTATAATTTTAAGTGCTCGTTGCGCTCTAAGATAACAGCGCTCAGGGAGCATAGGTATGTATGTATGTATGTATGTATATGCGTGTGATGTGCTGCTTCTGTCAGCGTTCTGTAGGTAATTATAATTTCCATTAACTTTTATTAAGTGTATGACAAAGAAAGGAAGATAGCAAACGTTTTGCGCTTTACTGAACGTTGTACCAGTGGTTTGTAGACCACTGTGCTGAGAAGCACTGGTTTCTAATTCAACTCGGCGTATGACCACTTTCAACATTTGAATTCATACCTGAAGAAATGGTGCATACCTAGGTTGACTCGGACTAGATTCTTCTGAGGGAGGCAGCCTCTCAGGATTTGGAATTCCATTGATGCTTGGAGGATGACGAGGCGAACTCATCCCAGCATTTCTTTTTCAGATGCAAAAAACCTGGACTACCAATAATACATATACCATGAAGACCACAGTTAATTTCTCCCTAGAGCCCAAAATTGTAGTTTACGCTCTACAAATCTCTCATTCTCGTTGACGACATGTACCAACGAAGATTCAGGAACCCTTCAGGAAACTGGAAAACGTAAAATCGATTTTCCAAGTACTCCAGCGAGTTTCCCATTGTACTTAATACTTAGGGCCAGTTTTTCAGTGGCAGCCCAAATTTTGATCATTTTGAAATTTTACTGGGTAATCCTTGTTTAAACCAGCTAATCCAAGCATTTAAACTACGTTGACACCACAGACAGATTTAACTGTCACTGTGCACTGAAAAACTGTCCCTTAAAGTTCAGTTAGTCTGGACTTTATTACTTACGCTTCATGTGTTTAATTTGTTTAAAATTTTTAGGGTTGTTGGATAAATAATAAATAATTATGAAATCTGAGCTTCATTAATACTTTTTTTAAAAACTTTACAGCACAAAAACAAATCGCTTTAATAGTTTTTCAAATATCTCGTGAACGGGGCGAGGAAAAAATTTGAAAAAAACTGCATATACACACATAAAAATTCTCTATTTAAGGAAATTTTTTTTTAAATTTTTTTTCTTGAATAACAAATTTTTTGATGAACACAAGTTTTTGAAAATATGCCATCTAAAAAAAATTTAAAAAAAAAGTTAAAAAAAAAGTCACAATGGTAGCTCTGAGTATCGCGCAATATTTACGTATGTATAGTATAACTCAAATTATTGTAGAGTGCACCCCCGACAATAATTTGAGTTATGATTTTTTTTACACCGAAGTTGAGTAAAAT